GGGCAAGTAGCATGGCGCAGAGATGAGGAACAGCGGCCGCAAGGAAACCAGACTCGAACTGCCTGTCCTCGAGGACCTCCAGGGGAAAGACAGGAGCACCCCCAGAGAACGGAGAACGAGCAGGGCCACTCACCAAGTGAGCGGCGTAGTCAAGGCGGTGGGAAGAGGCAAAGCCAGTGACAGTGGTAACAAGTGCCGAAACAGACGACAGGGGTGCAGTCGGGTGAGTGACCAACGCGGACAAAACACGGGAGATGACAGGACGGGAGGCACGAAGGTAGTCGGACAACGGGTCGTGAAGCACAGTGAGGGACGACTCAGGAGGCAGTGGAAGGTCAGGAGGAGGTGGAACACGAGAGCGAAGAACAAGGTGGAACGGACTGTCTGCACGGTAACGAGACCGACGACGCTCTGGGGACACAGCACGACTGAGGGGAGAACGACGAGTCCACTGGGACGAAGACAGGGACTCAACAGGGGGAACAGGAGGGGACGGTAGGGGACCACAAACAAAGCGTGCAGGTGCTGGGTCGAGGAGGTCGCGTAGTCGCAGTCGCTGCTGCTCCGCCTCCTCTGGCGTCTGTTGCGACGGTACAGGCCCCTGCTGCTGCTCCTTTGGCTCCGCCTCTGCCCTCTCCTGCTGCGACTGCAGCTGCACCCGCTGCTGCGGCCGGGACTCCTGTGGTACCCTCTCCTGCTGCGGCCATGACTCCTCCTCTACTCTCTCCTGCTGGGTCTGTAACTGCTCCTGCTGCTGCGGGTGGGACTCCTGCTCTACCCTCTCCTGGTAGGGCCGTGGCTGCTCCTCTACTCTCTCCTGCTGTGTCTGTAACTGCACCTGCTGCTGCGGGCGGGACTCCTGCTCTACCCTCTCCTGGTGCGGTCGTGACTCCTCCTCTACCCTCTCCTGCTGCTGCTGCTGCTGCTGCTGCTGCTTCTACTCCTGCTGCTGTGCCCTCTCAAACCGCTCACGCTCCTCCCTCTCCAACCTGAGGAGACGCTGCTCACGGGTCAGGAAACGTACAGTGCGTGGTGTAGGCGCCACAGTGCCAGTGCCTCCAGCTCCAGCACCCCCCGAACCAGCACCTCCACCACCAACACCCCCGGGGCCTCCAGTACCTCCCGCAGGAACACCCCCAAGCTCCGCAGCAACCGGCCGTAGACAAGAACGAGGAGGAAACTGCGAACGGACGGGAAGCCAGGGGGTGAGGCGGGGCGAGGCCGCCGAGTCGAGGCTGCCGTGTCCTCCACAGGAGTGACCTCCACGCCCACAACCCCTGCACCCCCAGAGCCGACACCACCAGCTCCTGCAGCCCCAGTACCCTCACCCTCCGCAACTGCACCTCCCGCACCCCCAGACACGACAGGGACTGGACGCTGTGGGGGGGAAGACTGCGGAGTGACGTGCGACACACCTGACGGGGTGGGACGCGAAGGGGGGGGGGCTACCGGGGCGACTGGTGGCGGCTCAAGGGTGAGGAACAGCGAGGGGGAAAAGGCCTCAGTACCTCGGTGGGGGCGACTCCTGTAGTAACAGACAGACTCGTCGAATGTGACGTCCTGAGAAGCGAAGAACTGGTAGGTGACCGGGTCGTAGAACACCCAGCCGGAGGCGTCCAAAGGGAAGCCAAGAAAGACGCAGGCACGAGTGTGAAAGAACAAGGAATGAAGAAAGGAGAGAGAAGTTCACTAGCAAGCAGTTGGATACATATAGCAAACCCTAACTGGGTTGTACTCGCTATAGAGCACCCCACTGCAGGCTAGATAATATAACATTCTGACACACCCCCATAGCCAAAGTGGGGTGTAATCAACACAGCAAGCAGCAGTTCACAGAGTTCACAAATAATAAGCAAAGCTAGAGGTAATCACAGCGGGCAAGTGAGGAGGAGGAGGAACTGTGGAAGGAGAGAAGATGGGTGGCAACGACTGAAGCTGCAGAGGCACGGGCACAGGAGCGGCTGACTCAGTGGCTACCGAAGCAAGGGCGACGGACTACTGGAGTGACTGGCTCCGCGGCTAAGACGAGCGGCAGGAGCAACGGACCCACTGGCGACTGGTGCAACAGGCTCACTGGCTACCGAAGCAAGGGCGACGGACTACAGGCGCTGCAGGCGACACGACAGCTACCTTCACACAAAATCCTCCAACTGACCCACACCCTTGACACACACCCCCTGCTGAACCCCTAACTCCACTCCCACGTCACCCCCCTAGCACCACTCCTTCGGCTCCCACACACCCACCCCCCTGAGCGGCAGCTGCAGCAGCGGGAGACGGAGGAGGAGGAGGAGTAGGGGATGGGGCACACAACCGGCACCCCCACAACCGCCACCCCCACACTCCCCACCCCCAAACCCTAAAACGGGTGGCACGGGGTAGGAGCGCGGGGGAAGGCGCGCGGCCCCCAGGGCGCCACCATGGGGCAGCGAGGGGGGGGGCCGCGCGCGGCCCCCCAGGGCGCCGCGACGGGGCAGCGAGGGGGTCGCGCACGGCTCCAGGGGCGGCTCGCGGGTCCCCGGGGGCGACACGACCGTCGACGGGGCAGCGGGGGGTCGTGCGCGGCTCCCCAGGGCGGCGCGACGGGGTGGCGGGGCGATGCGACCACCGACGGGGCAGCGGGGGAAGCGCGCGGGACCCCCAGGGCGACGCGACGGACAGGGCGGGGGTGCGCGCGGGTCCCCCACGGTAGGAAACCGCCGCGCGCCTCGGGGCGCACGGCGGGATGAAAAAACCTAAAAATTTTCGCCGCGCGCTCCGCAGAACGGCAGGAAGAAGACGGCGCACGCCCGAGGCGCGCGAGAAGCAGAACAGCAGCGGAAGCAGTTAGGTGGCGGGCCCACCCACAGGATTGACCCAAGGGGGTCGACCTGCTCTGAAACCATGTGAAAGAACAAGGAATGAAGAAAGGAGAGAGAAGTTCACTAGCAAGCAGTTGGATACATATAGCAAACCCTAACTGGGTTGTACTCGCTATAGAGCACCCCACTGCGGGCTAGATAACATAACATTCTGACCACGAGTGCGCGGAGACAACTTGTTCGCGCCAGGGGCGCGAACGTGAGCCAGACAACCCCAGACACGGAAGTCAGCTGCTACGCCCGGAGAACCTGTCCAAAGGGAGACCGGCGTCACCCGTGGCCGTGCGTCACTGGGCCACAGGTTCAGCTGGTGCGCAGCGTAGCGGACTGCCTGAGGCCACAAGAACTGGGGGGCACCGGCATGGCACATGGAGGTCCGCGCAACCTCCATGACCAGGCCGATGCGTCGCTCGGCTACCCCGTTCTGCTGCGGTGAGGCTGGTAGCGTGTAAGACTGGATGATCCCCCGACCCTGACAGAACGTCTCCAGGCGAGTGGAAGAAAACTCACCACCACGGTCCGAGTGTAGGCGAAGCCCACACAGGCCCTGGGCGCCACCCCACGCTAGTAGCCACGGCTCGAGGACGGTAGGCACGTCGGCCTTCCGTCGCAAGGGGAAAACCGTGGTGTAGCGGGAGTAGTCGTCCACCACAATCAGGAAGTAGCGTTCCTGACGTGGAACAAGGACCGGGGAGGGGCCCCATACGTCCAAGTGCAGGGTCTGGAAAGGAGCCGTGGTGGGGGGGAACGAGGAGGAGTGAGGGGCAGCGCGCTGCCGACCCTCGACGCAAGGAGTGCACAGCGGCGCAGGCGAGCGGGGAAGCGGTGCAAGCGACTCTGGGAGACCTGAGACCAGGCGGTGACGTGCCATCCTACTGAGACGCGGGAACGACGGGTGACCTAGACGGTGGTGCCAGAGGACCGACGGGTGGGTGAGGGACCGACAGTCACACGACACAGCAGCTACTTGACCTGACCTGACCTGACCTGACCTGACCTGACCAAGTGTGGTGGGACCTAGTGTGTAATGAGTACAGACCAGAGCCCGGCTCCCTGTGAAAAGTGGCCAGAGGGACCCCAGTGGTACCGACTGTGCAGGAGGCAACAGGCTCGTCAACTGGGAAAGTAGTGACTACACCTAGGTCGTGGAGGTGACTGACACCCACCAGGTTCCTGGAGAACGAGGGGGTGTAGTAACTTGTGAGAAAACCTGATTGAGCCGCCGGACACAGGAGAGTGGTGGTGCTGCGAGCAACTACACGTCCCACAGAGGGGTCAGCCAAGGCGACAGTGACTGGAGTGCGCAGTGGTGTGAGGTCAGTACAGTCGCGAAAGAAACAGCTTGACGCTCCAGAGTCTAGGGTGAAGGAAAGCCGTGCAGTCTGTGGGGTCGCACCCGAACTAGCTACAAAGGCTGGTGCTAGACTAGTGGTAGCTGCAGCTCCTACACAAAGACCCTCAGAGGCGCCTGGACGGGAAACAACACACGCACCAAGACTGGAAACACATGTCTCTACTAGTGCAGCCGGGAACGGTCCTAGACCAGGTAGGTGAGACTCAACTGGTGCAGTAGTGCGCTGGCGAAGTCGCGAGGGCCAGTGCGGTGTAATAGCGTGAGGACCAAAACGCTCACGGTGGAGGTTGTCGAGTCGACGGTAGCAGCTGGACGCAGAGTGGGCAGGACTCCAACAGGTGGTGCCAGCACGAGGGCCTGTCAGGGCCCGGTACCCGCAGGGGCCGACGTCTCGCCCACTGCTAGCTGAGCCACTGCTGGGGGCTCCACCCTTTGGACCCGCAGGTCCCCACTGCCGGGAGTGCTGCAGCTGGCCCTGCTGCTGTAGAACTCGAGTACACGCCATGTGAGCCTATGCTGCTGCTGGTTCTGCTGAGGGCAGCCTAAGCTGCCACTGGTGTGCTGGGGGCAGCCTAAGCTGCTGATGATGCGCTGGCGGTAGCCTAAGCTGCTGCTCGAGCGCTGGGGCAGCCTATGCTGCTTCTGGTTTTGCGGGGGGGCAGCCTAAACTGCTGCTACTGGTGCTGCTGGTGGCGGGTTTCAGCTCTTGAGGCGGAGGATTCAGGGCATGGGGGGCAGCTCTGACTAGTACAGGTGGGACAGCGGGTGCGGTTCGGTGCGGTTCTATGCAATTCAGTGCGGTTCTGCGCGATTCTGTGCGGTTCTGTGCAGTTCTGCGGTGTGGAGAGTACCGGGTGGGGCAGCTGATTCCGGGTGAGGTGACTGGAACGGGTGGGGCAGCAGCTCTGGCTGGAACGGGTGGGGCAGCGGGTGCAGTTCTGTGCGGTTCTGTGCAGTTCAGTGCGGTTCTACGCGGTTCTGTGCGGTTCTGTGTGGTTCTGCGGGGTGGAGAGTACCGGGTGGGGCGGCTGAGTCCGGGTGAGATGACTGGAACGGGTGGGGCAGCAGCTCTGGCTGGAACGGGTGGGGCAGCGGGTGCGGTTCTGTGCGGTTCTGTGCAGTTCAGTGCGGTTCTGCGCGGTTCTGTGCGGTTCTGCAGGGTGGAGAGTAACGGGTGGGGAGGCTGATTCCGGGTGAGGTGACTAGAACGGGTGGGGCAGCAGCTCTGGCTGGAACGGGTGGGGCAGCGGGTGCGGTTCTGTTCAGTTCTGTGCAGTTCAGTGCGGTTCTGCGCGGTTCTGTGCGGTTCTGTGCTGTTCTGCGGGGTGGAGAGTACCGGGTGGGGCGGCTGATTCCGGATGAGGTGACTGGAACGGGTGGGGCAGCAGCTCTGGCTTGAACGGGTGGGGCAGCGGGTGCGGTTCTGTGCGGTTCTGTGCAGTTCAGTCCGATTTCTAGTGTGGCGGCGGATTTTTGCTCGTGGGGCGGCAGATCGCGGGTGAGGCGACGGCTAACAGACCGGGGGCGGGTAAGGCAGCGGGTAGGGCCGTGTCTAAAGGGTGGGGCGGCGGTTATGACGGTGGGAAACAGGTGGGGCGACGGGTCGCTCGTGCGCGCGGCTGCTGCTGTGCGTGCGTGCGACTAACGACGGGGCCGTGGGGCCCGCTAGCGAAGGAGCCTCGGGGCCCACGAACGAAGGGCCGCGGGGTCGGCTAACGAAGGGCCGCGGGGCCCGCTAACGAAGGGCCGCGGGGCCCGCTAACGAACAGCCGCGACGGATGACGAGCCACGGGAAAAAAAAGGGAAATGGCCGCGATCGACGGGGGGAAACGGGCGACGGGCGACTGGCGACGGCGGGGGGGGGGGGGTCTACAGGCGACGAGGCTAAGGTAAGCGCGCTACGGGCGGTCTAGGACGGGGCGCGACTAGGTGGGCCCATGATAGTCGAGTGATTTTTCCTAAGGGGAAAATCTCGCTAGGGTTAACCTAGCTCTATACCATGACACAATGTAAAAATTGACTAAAACCAGAAAGTACAAACAAGATATATGCAAAACCTAACCCTAGTGCAAGTACAAAATAACACAAGGGACAACACCTAGACTAGAACTACACAAGCTATAGAAATATAGTTTGACAAAAATGGACAGTTTGCCTGAGAAATATGGTTCGAGGAAGGTTTCACTGGTGGAAAATGCCAGCGTTAAAAGGGGTGTTCGGCTGGCATTCCATTATTGTCTGGTTCGGCGATGATCCGCTTATATCGAGCCTAGATAACCTTTCACGTGCTTATCAAAGAAGGTTCCAGGGTGGTCGGTTTACTGTAGCCCAACTGGGGAAACCGTTTGTGCTGCCGGTGCTGTATAATGTAAATGTCGGTACCGGAAATATAGAATAAGTGAAATAATTGAAAAGCTCTGGAAAATTCAATAGTAGTTTGATTGAGGTGAAATAAAATGCAAATGAAAGAGGAAAATAAGGAGAATAAGATAGAGTAAAAATATAGAAATGAAAAATATGTCGAACGTCGGCATACTCTCACATGCTGGAGGAACTGGTGCTGTACTGCGCACCGGCGACCGTTTTTCTTCCTGCAGCCACAGTCGTCACTGCCACCACCTGACTCGACACTTCGCTAGGTTCTTGGTCTTCCGTATTCCACTGGCCTTACTCCACCTCTCCTGTGTCCTCCGCCTGACCAGTCACAGCCGCCGTTACTACGTGGCTTTTCACTGCCTACTCCTTCTTCTTACCCTGAGTAGACAGACTCCCTGACAGAGCATCGTCAGCCTGAGTCTCGTCCTGCCTCCCCTGTTCGCACTGTCAGTCGTACTCATCGTCCTCGTCCTCGACACACGCACACTATGGCAATTCGTCCTTCCTCTGTTCCACAGCGTGTTGCCCTACCGTCTCCTCCGGCGTCCTCTCTTCCTGATGTTCTTGACCCTGAGTCCGACCTTCATTATGCTGCTAGTCCTACTGTCACGCGTTTCCTTGGCACCCTTGTTACTAACCCATCCTTTGAGTCTACTGCTGCCTTAGTCACTGAGCTCGTACACTTTGCTGCTACCTGCCGTCTCAACTACGTCACGAGACTGGTTACTGAGTCTGAGTCTGACTGTCCTCCATCCGTCGGGGGTGAGCTTACCCTTGGCAGTGACGTCCCTGAGGACAGGCAGTTTGAGCATGAATGCCTCGCGGCTGTTGTACCTTATCTCGCGTCCGTGCTGCTTTGCCCTGGTGGAGACCCAGATGCACTAGACATCCCGACCCCGCGCACTCACGAAGAGGCGATCACGGGTGAGTACTCCTCTTAGTGGCAGACAGCCATGGATGCAAAGATGGCTTCCTGGAAGTCCACATACACCTAAATTGACGTAATTCCCCCTTCTGAGGCAAACATCGTCGATGGCATGTGGATTTTCAGGGTGAAGCGGTCGCCGGGTTCTCCGCATGCCTTCAAGGCACGTTATGTTGCTCGAGGCTTCGATCAGCGACAGGGGGTCGACTTCTTCCACAATTCTCTGTCCAGATATATTACGGGAAATGGCATTAGGCGAAAGAAGGGTTGTGAGAGTATGACGGCTTATGCTGGCTTTGCTAGCTTGCCTGGATTTTATTATGCTATATCTAGCTTGGGTTTATTTTATCATGCATAAATATGCTTGATTTCCTAGGTAAGGTGCATTCCTATATTTTATTATAGTTATAGCACCGAACCAGGTTACGTGTACCGAACTCAAGCCTATTCGGTTTCCCTTGAATGGCTTTCTACTGAGTTTGGGAAGGTTCTGTTCGGGACGCTTCGCGACCCTCAGAACATCCGCGTAACACCTGGGTAACCGGCCTTGTGTCGAGACTATATATAGCCTCGTGTTATACCCAGGTGAATCATTCAATTCAACATCTTTTTTCTGAGCTCGATCCTAGATCCTCACAAGGGTGGTACAAGACAGTGTCGAAAAAGTATGTGTACCCCTTAAGGCTAGGCCCACTAGAGCCTAGATGAATGATAAAAATATGATTTGACACACCCCCATAGGCGAAGTGGGGGATAGCCAAAGAAAGCAATGGTCACAAGACCAGTCAAGAGAAGCAACAAAGCAAAGCAAGCTCAGGGTGGATCACGAAGTCACCACACATTCTGAGCATAAGCATATGGCCACAAGGCCAGTTCACATGCAGAGTAATATATAAGAGAGCAAACAGTACACTGATCATAACATAGCAAGAGTAAGCATGCAGGCATATACATAGATTACAGTACAAGCAAAGTCACGCAGTGAGCAAGTGGAATGAAGCAGGCACAAGGCCTAAAGCAGTACAGAAACTCTGATGGTCACCAGACGGAAGTGCCTTGGTGAAAATATCAGCAGCGTTGGCCCAAGTGGCCACGTAAGCAAGGCGAAGTTGACCACGCTGCTGCAACTCTCGAACGAGGAGGTAACGCAGAGCGATGTGCTTCATTCTGTGCTCCAGTCTGTGCTCCTGACACAAGGCAATCATGGCCTTGTTGTCTACGTACAGAACTGGAGGAGAACGAGGCCGCTCTACCAGGTCAGTCAGCAGGTAGGTGAGCCAGCGTAACTCCTGTGCAGCCATGGCCCCTGCATAGATCTTAGCCTCACAACTGGAACTGAGAATTGAAGACGAGCGGGTAGACCGCCAAGAAACAGAGCCGAAGCCAAGGCTGAAGGTGTAACCCTGTGACGACCGGTGCGTAGCCATGTCGTCAACCTAAGAAGCATCTGCGTGTCCAGTGAGGACAACTGGACCCAGTCCTACAAGAACGAGCCCCATGCCCGACGTACTGCACAAATAGCGCAACACCCTCTTAGCGGCCTCCCAGTGCTCTGGTCGATGTCTCCCGGGCGCAACGTAGTGTGAGAGGATGCTAAGAGGGTAAGCAAGGTCAGGTCGAGTGCAGGTCATTAGGTACATGAGGCAGTGTACAAGCTTTGGATACAAGCCATTCGGCTCTACGGACTCGTCCAAAGGTGGAGCTGAGAGCAAGTTACCTGTAGGCAGAGGAGTGGACTATGGCGAGGAGAACCAGAAGCCGAAGCGCTGAAGGACCTGATGCACCATGTGTGACCGAGTCAGGGTGATGGTGCGTCGTGCTCTGTCCTGGGTGATCTGCAAGCCAAGATAGCTGCGCAGCTCACCCAGGTCAATGCAAGTGTGTCTCTTCTGCAGCTCCGACTTCACGTGGGCGAGTCCCTCAGTGTCAGCAGTGGCAAAGACGAAGTTGTCGACGTACACGAGGATGTAGAACGGCGGCAACGAAGTGTCGGGGCGCAGATACAGCGACGGGTCAGTAGTGGAAGGAGCAAACCCCAGGGCCGCAAGTGTCATCCTCAATGTGTCGTGCCACTCATGAGGCGCCTAGCGGAGACTGTAGACTGGGCATCGAAGGCTCCACTAGGTACCCTCAGGAAACGAGGATATCTACAGTCTCCTACCTGTCCTCAAGGACATGATCGAAGTCCTCCTGCCTGTCCTCAAGGATGTCCGTGCCAAGAGCACACTCACCCCCGACGGACGGAGGACAGACAGACTCAGACTTATCAACAAGGCTAGCAGCGTAGTCGAGATGACAGGCAGCAGCAAAGTCGACAAGCTCAGCAACTATGGCAGACGCAGCAGTGGACTCAAACAAAGGGCGGTGACAACAGTGGCTAGGAGACGGGTGACAGTAGGACTGGCAGCACAAACTAAGTCAGACTCAGTGTCTGGACCGTCAGGAAGAGAGGACTCAGGAGGAGATGGCAGGGGAACTCGAAGTGGAACAGAGAAAGGACGAAGTGTCATAGTGTGAGTGCTAGGGACAGGGGGAGGACGCGGATGAGGAACACGACGACAAGTGCAAGTAGCGCGAACATGGGATGCAGGACGAGACTCGGGCTCACGACACTCTGTAAGAGAGTCTGACCCCTCAGTGTAAGGAGAAGGAGCAGGCAGTGGGGAGTCTCGCTTTAACTGTGGCTGCGACTGGTCAGGCGGTGGACATAGTAGAGGTGGAGTAAGGTCATTAGAAGATGGGAGACTAAGAAACTGGCGAAGCAGTGGAACGAATAGTCCAGCACCAGCACCGACTGGTCCAGCATCCCCGTCGCCAGTATCTCCAGCTCCAGGGTCTCCAGCTCCAGCGCCTGCAGCTCCAGGGTCTCCAGCTCCAGTGCCTGTAGCACCACCAGCTCCAGCAGCTCCAGTACCTCCAGTACGAGCACCTCCCCGACCAGCAGCTCCACCACCTCCAACACCTCCACCACCACCAGCACCACCAGCTCCGGCAGCTCCAGTACCTCCAGCATGAGCACCTCCAGGACCAGTAGCTCCAGCACCTCCGGTACCTCCAGCTCAAGCAGGACCGCCAGCACCTCCAGCACCTCGAGTACC